GCCTTGTGGACACAAATGCCCTTGGAGCTCCTGACACAGTCAGCACTATACCCACTTACTGAAATCTGCTTGAGAATCAGATTTATTGACTATGGGGTAGAAATACTCAAAGTACCGTGGCTGAGACCCCGCTGGGGTCAGTGATGGCAGCCAGGTGTACCCGAGGGATTAGATGGTGAGTAACGTTAACGTTACATCTTTGCCCTCCAACTTACACCCCCCACACAGTGCTCGTGCCCATCTCGGCAGGTACAGAAAGCTCTGGTGGATGTGATGCAAGGAGAGAGGAGCAAGTCATGCTCAGAATCTTGAGCTGTGGTGTACACAGCCTAGTCCATCTGTTTCGGTGCAAATTCAGGTGTTCCCACACATACACATCCCCTGTTTAAAAAAAAAATAAAAATGTTCAGGCTGTGGGTAGGACTTGCATGGGGTGAAGTTCCCTTCTTTTATTCTCCCTCAGCACAGCAGAAAAATCTACAGTAACAATTAGAAAACAGACAAATAATTTGGAATCCTCACACTGCTGCAGTGCAACCCCAGTGTCTCTGGGGTGCCTGTTTATGGTACCCTTCTCACTGATTATGATAGACTAAATGCAAGAGGTAAAAAAACCCCTCTCCATCCTTTTGAACCCGATCAGTGCTTCAGCCTTCTCTTGGTACTAAAAAGCCCTGCTGCTTTCCCCCCCCCCCGCACACACCCCCCAAGAAAAGGATGTAAAACTGATACTGGTATCTATGAAACAGTATTCCTGCTTTGTGTTCTTATTGGAATAGCATCCAATTTCTCAGTCTTGCAGAATTTCCAGCACATTATTTTGGCACAAATGATTTATAGTTGATGAGCAATTAAAGTATAATTTTTTTCACCATCTCAGGCTTTGTGACTAGACTACTAAATGATTTCACAAGCTTGATCGATCACTACAGGATAGTGGTGGGATGTATTCACAGGAGAAATTTATTCCTCCTTGCAGACCCAGCATCTGCTGTTACTGCAAACTGGAGCACTGTTTGCATTCCCCAGATAATTTTCTCTGCATATCTTTTGTACAGTCTTTCTTTGGCCCTACAAGAGAGCTTGATTCTGAATTTCAATGACAGTTTACTCTGACATTACAAAGTCCTTTCAAAATACCTGTTCTGTCTGGAACCTTTAATGTAGAGTGATGCATTACTTAGACCTGTCAAGGTATTTCAAAACTAGCAGCAAACAAAAATAAGGGTTTGGGTTTTTTTTCTTTTCATGTCTGGAAGGGTAGCTCCCAGCGGCCAGTGTGGTGGAGAAAAATCAGATGAAAGGACTGGCTACAAAGAGTCCTCACCTCCAAATTGCTTAAGTGTCATTAGATGACATTTAGGTAACCAGTCTTGATTCTGCTATAATGGAGGTGGAAAGAGAACCAGAGTAGTTTCATGTAGACGCTTCACCTTTCAGGCAAGGACATGACAGGTATAGTTGTCAACCCTGCTTGGGTTCGGGAGGAAAAAATAGCATGGAAATGAGCAGAAAGGGAAGACAAAAAAAAAATATAAATCAAGAGATCCAGTTTTGATAGTATAGCTCAGAGCTACGCTAGGCTACTCTGCTCGTAAGATCCTTGTGGGATTCCCCTCGATAAGAATAATCAAAATGTGCACTGACCAGTGTGTACGACACGATTCTCTTCACTACCACCTAGTGGGACACTCCTTCATTACCCGAACTCCAGAGCCGCTCCTGCTCTCCAATCTCATCCTCACCCTGATGGTAGAAACAGTGAGTAAGTGGAGGGGGAACAGATGGATGACTGGGAAGAAGGACACAGTCCTGTTTCCCCATACAGGAAGAGGAATGTAGAGAGCGCGCCTATAATTTAAACCCAGTACGTGCTCTGGCATTATCACACCCTGCCTTCTAGCTCTGCACCCAGGCCAGTCCTTCATGGTTGTTACACCTTAGCCTCAGTTTCAATGAAGGTCCCAAAGCTTAAAAAATGTCTTTGGAGATAGAGTAAAAAAATTGTTCTTCTGAATGCAACTGAATCCTGCAAACAGTGGCAAGAAGGAAGTTGGGATGTTACTCCAGTGTCTCAGTCAAAAGGCAGCCTTGCCCCCTTTTTGGCTTGGGAAGTTTTGGTTGTTCTGCTCCTGATTGTACTACTGGAAGGAAGGAAGGAAAAAAAAAAAGCTTCCTTCTCTGTAAAATCATATTTTCGATTATAATCACATATTTACAAAGACTACTAAATTAAAACATAAATAGGTAAATATTTGGAACATTAAAACTGTGGTTGTGAGTCGTTTCTCACTGAGATATTCAGGGTTTGCCCGAATAACTGAAATCCAACCCTACGAAAACAACATATAAATGAAAATTATCTCACATTTTTCACAATCCTGTGTTCCATTTGGTTCTAAGCTCCCAATGCACAAATAATAACAAGGTTTGGTACTTGTGTAGCTCTCTTTTCCCCAATCACAAAAATAAGGGTGAACACAATAATAATAGCTCTCACATTCCAAGGAGGGAGTG